AGGTCCTTACAAAACCTCCATGTCTGCAGCCCCGGAAGGCCAAGCCCAGGGTATGGAAGATGTGATGCTAGAAAAAGATTCCGCCTGCCCTGTGGCCTATAGGCCTCAGCAGTGAGCTCGTAACTGTCACATTGTACTGAGGGTGTATCCTAAATGCCTGTCCCAGCGATGCCATCATATTCCATACATGGGATTGTGTACAAAGCAGGGCTGTAGCATTTTACGTGTACTGAGTTGTTTAATCCTCATGGCACACCTGTGCTCCAGGTGAGGAAATGGAGGCCCAGGGTCCCACGGCTGGTTCATGCCAGAGCCGGGACGTGAGGCCAGGCAGTGTGGGCACTTCACCACTGCACCCAAATGACACTGCACCTCGGTGTCAACCATGCTGTTCTGTAAGGGGGCAAGTGAGTACAGGTCTGCAAACCCTTATCTGAATTCCGAAATACAAAACACCTCTGCAAGCTAGAAGTTTCTTTCTGCTTTGGCATCAAAACCTGAGCTGAAGAAAGGCTATTTGTACCCTATTTACTTCCTCTAGTGTGCCTTTTCACAACTTTCCACATAAATACTGATGTATTTGATTGTGGGGTATGTCCCCAGACCCCCTGGGAGTGTTATGCAATATTCATTCAGCATCTGTACCTGGGTCCCTTTCTAAAATTCAAAGAATCCTAAATTCTGAGACATCTGGCCCCAACAGTTTTGGGTAAGGGATCGTGGACCCATATAATAAGGTTTTATGGTAATGTGTATTTTTTTTGTACAGTTGTCTGGCTGCATGGTAGATGAGTTGGGACATGAGGCGGGTCTGAACCCCACTGATGGGGGTGCAAATGCCTGGGTGGGCCCGTAGGACTCCTTCAGCCCCACATGCACTTAGAGCCTCCCAAGCTGAAGTTGAACCTTCTTCCCTGGGGAAGGGTGGGGGCCGAGTGAGGTTGGGAAGCAGACTAGAGGAGGCTCCTGGCCAACCAGTGTCACTTTGAATCAGTACAGCCATGTCGCCTTTCTATACCCCACCCACCAAGACTTCGGGCTCCTCCATAAACCCCCAACCCATCCCCCAGTTTGGTCCTGCTCAGGCAAGCACAAACCTTAGACATGGCTTTGATTCAGGGGCTTGTAAGCTCATGGAGTCAACAGAGTGGCTGGCCCTGGGCAGAATGGGCTGGAAGTTCCTGTCCAGATCTGCAGTTCTCTGTGTCCTGGGCCCTGAATA